TACAAGAAAGTTCATAGCAAATTTATTCACAGAAGTTTAAACTGGAAATAACCCAAATGTCCATCCACAGGTGAAAAAATTGTGGTATAGTCATAAAATCGGATGCTACTCCTGATACAGCAACAATATGGATACTTCTCACAGATACTATCTTGCGTGAAAGAAACCAGATAGCAGGGGCGCCTGGGTGGCTCAGTCCTTAAGCGTCTGCCTTCAGCTCGGGTCATGGTCCCAGGGTCCTGGGATTGAGCCCCGCATCGGGCTCCCTGCTCCGCGGGAAGCCTGCTTCTCCCTCTCCCACTCCCCCTGCTTGTGTTCCCTCTCTCTCCATGTCTCTCTCTGTCAAATAAATAAATAAAATCTTAAAAAAAAAAAAAAAAAAAAGAAACCAGATAGCAGAGCATATCATCAGCTTGGCAATGACTATTCTATTATATCCACAAAGATTGGTTCTCATTTCCATAGCATATTTATTGTCACACACACACACACACACACACAATTTCTGGCATGCAAGAATGTAAAATCATTACATTAAGATTAAGTCCATAAAAATAATTTTAAATTTAGGGGCACCTGGGTAGCCCAGTCGGTTAAGAGACCGACTTTTGGTTTTGGCTCACGTGGTGATCTCAGGGTTGTGAGATCAAGCCCCACGTTTGGTTCCATGCTCAGCGTGGTGTCTGCTTGAGATTCTCTCTCCCTCTCCCTCTGCCACCCCCAGCCACCGCCCCCCCCCCCGGCTTGTGCTCTCTCTCTCTCTAAAATAAATAATTTTAAAATAATTTTAAATTCTTGAGTGCTTTCGGGCGCCTGGGTGGCTCAGATGGTTAAGCGTCTGCCTTCGGCTCAGGTCATGATCCCAGGGTCCTGGGATCGAGCCCCACGTCAGGCTCCCTGCTTTGCGGGAGCCTGCTTCTCCCTCTGACCCTCTCCCCTCTCATGCTATTTCTCTCTCGCTCGCTCTCTAAAAAATAAATAAAAATCTTTAAAAAAAAAATTAAAAAAAAAAAATTCTTGAGTGCTTTCTATATGTGGTAGGTGTTCTATATGCATTGTATCATTTAATGGACACAGTACTGTTATTATCCCCATTTTATAGACAAGAAAACTGAGGTTTATCGAGGGCAACTGCTATTACACGGCTAAAAATGAAGAGTTGGAACTTGCACTCCCATCCATCTGAGTCCAAAGCCTGTAGGAAAAACCAGCTGTTAAGCCTTTGCTTTGACAAAACATGAAACCTAATTTGTCAGCACTTACTAACCTATGGTGATTTATCACATTGTGATAGAGAAGAAATGAATCATGGTGCAGGGATTATTTACCATATTTCTACGTTTATCAGGACCTCGTTGTCAAGAAGGAAGAGAAAGCCTTCTCCAATCTGGAAACAAGAAAACGGTGGCTTGCAAGGAACGATGGGTCCATGGCATAGGAGCAGGCAAAGGAGAGTTTACTGTGGTAGTCACATATATGAACTGGATTCAGGTCGTGGGCTTCCAGTTTCCAGGATTCATCCACCTACTTCAGTTCCTCACTTTCTGCCCCCTCCCCAGAATCTCAGAGTTAAATCCGTTCATCTTCCTTCTCACACCACACTCCCAAGTCAGATGAGCTTCACTCCCATATCACACACGAAGACTCAGACCTCACTTCTTCCGGGAATTAAGGCCAGATGTGAGTATTTCAATAGTCTCAATTCCATTCCCCCCACAACAGATATACACACGCCTATTCATGTACACATAGACGTACATGTGCATATGTGTATATTTAGGGGGACTTAGTATCAGTCATTCTCCCATGTACTCTGATGCTGACCAATGGGGTTTCCTGTGTCCCTTCGCTGACACTAAGTCCTGGGGTCTGGTGGCCAAAGGGCGATCACTGGGATCCCCAGTACTGCTGGCTGGGAGGTATCAGATCTCAGGAATAGGTTGCCACTTTGATCACCTCTGCCCCATTCTGCTCTTCCTGGTTCCCCTTCTTGGGGGACTAAAACCTTGCCTCTTAGCCTCCTAAAGTGGCTCAAGCCCTGCTGTACCATAGAGACACCCCTAGTTAGCCACACTTTCTACTCCCTGACCATAAAACCCACAAACCGGATTCTTTCCCAGGGATCTCTATGCATGGTAAGATACTCTCTTTTTCAGAGCAATGGTGTTCTCATAATCTTTAAAAATGTATCCTCCTGGGGGCACGTGGCTGGCTTAGTCGGTGGAGCATGTGACTCTTGATCTTGGGGTTATGGGTGTTGAGCCCCATGTTGGGTGTAGAGATTATTTAAAAATAAAATCTAAGAAATAATAAAAAATTTAAAAAGCAAAAAAATTAAAAATAAAAATGGATTCTCCCAGAGGAAAAAAACAACAACCCTGATTTATAGTGTTTATCAATTTCTGTGGTAGAGATACTCCCACCAAGACCAAACTCAGGCTACCAACATGACATCATTTATCGTGAAGTTGGGAACAGATGAGGAGCGGTGCTCATTATAGAGTATTTCTGCTATGCAGACATGATGGAATAAAGAATCTCAAAAGCATCCAATGGAACAAAGATAGTCTCTTCAACAAATGGTGTTGGGAAAATTGGATAGACACATGCAGAAGAATGAAACTGGACCACTTCCTTACACCACACACAAAAATAGACTCCAAATGGTTGAAAGACCTCAATGTGAGACAGGAGTCCATCAAAATCCTAAAGGAGAACACAGGCAACAACCTCTTTGACCTCAGCCGAAGCAACTTCTTCCTAGAAACATCGCCAAAGGCAAGGGAAGCAAGGGCAAAAATGAACTATTGGGACTTCATCAAGATAAAAAGCTTTTGCAAAGCAAAGGAAACAGTTAACAAAACCAAAAGACAACCGACAGAATGGGAGAAGATAACTGCAAATGACATATCAGATAAAGGGCTAGTATCCAAAATCTATAAAGAACTCATCAAACTCAACACCCAAAGAACAAAGAATCCAATTAAGAAATGGGCAGAAGACATGAACAGACATTTTTCCAAAGAAGACATCCAAATGGCCAACAGACACATGAAAAAGTGCTCAATATCGCTCGGCATCAGGGAAATCCAAATCAAAACCTCAATGAGATATCACCTCACACCAGTCAGAATGGCTAAAATTAACAAGTCAGGAAATGACAGATGTTGGCGGGGATGCGGAGAAAGGGGAACCCTCCTACACTGTTGGTGGGAATGCAAACTGGTGCAGCCACTCTGGAAAACTGTATGGAGGTTCCTCAAAAAGTTGAAAATAGAGCTACCATATGATCCAGCAATTGCACTACTGGGTATTTACCCCAAAGATACAAAAGTAGGGATCCGAAGGGGTACGTGCACCCCGATGTTTATAGCAGCAATGTCCACAATAGCCAAACTGTGGAAAGAGCCAAGATGTCCATCGACAGATGAATGGATAAAGAAGATGTGGTATATATATACAATGGAATATTATGCAGCCATCAAAAGGAATGAGATCTTGCCATTTGCAACGACGTGGATGGAACTGGAGGGTATTATGTTGAGTGAAATAAGTCAAACAGAGAAAGACATGTATCATATGATCTCACTGATATGAGGAATTCTTAATCGCAGGAAACAAACTGAGTGTTGTTGGAGTGGGGGGTGGGGTGGGAGGGATGGGGGGACTGGGTGATAGACACTGGGGAGTGTATGTGCTCTGGTAAGTGCTGTGAATTGTGCAAGACTGTTGAATCTCAGATCTGTACCTCTGAAACAAATAATGCAATATATGTTAAGAAAAAAAAAAAAAGAAGAAGAAGAAGAAGAAGGTAGCGGGAGGGGAAGAATGAAGCGGGGGAAATCAGAGGGGTAGACGAACCATGAGAGACGATGGACTCTGAAAAACAAACAGGGTTCTAGAGGGGAGGGGGGTGGGAGGATGGGTTAGCCTGGTGGTGGGTATTTAGGAGGGCACATTCTGCATGGAGCACTGGGTGTTGTGCACAAACAATGAATCATGGAACACTTCATCTAAAACTAATGTTGAAATGTAAGGGGATTAACATAAGAATAAAAAAATTAAAAAAAAAAAAAAAAAAGAATCTCAAAAGCATCCATGATGGTAAAATGTAATTGGGAAGTAATATGTTTGAGTGTTTATTACCTTTATTTGTAATATAATTTATTTTATTTATAAAGTCATATAATTTTATTTTTTACAATGGCTCTGCTTAACAAAATTCCTAAAAATTTAACAGTTGACCCTCACAAGTACGTGCAAGCTGGCTCCAGCCCACCCCTGCTTGAGGACACGGCTCACCCTGTTATTCATTACTGTAGGTCCAATTCTAGGGCACATGTAGGCATCCAGTAACTCTATTACAGTCAATGAGTAAACAAATGAATAAATAACGCACTTCTGGGGTGCCTGGGTGGCTCAGTCGTTAAGCGTCTGCCTTCAGCTCAGGTCATGATCCCAGGACCCTGGGATCGAGCCCCGCATCGGGCTCCCTGCTCAGCGGGAAGCCTGCTTCTCCCTCTCCCACTCCCCCATTTGGGTTCCCTCTCTCGCTGTGTCTCTCTGTCAAATAAATAAAATCTTTAAAAATAAATAAATAAATAAATAAATAAATAAATAAATAAATAACGCACTTCTGACCAGGGCAATAAAAAGAAGTTGTATTAATAAACATTCCACATGAATAAATACTATAATTTAATATCTGTTCATTCCATAAATATTCAGTGAGTTCCTGCCAGGTGCCATGCACTGTTCTAGGGCTGAGGTAGAAGAGGAACTGGACAGACAGGTGCCCGCCCTCAAGAAGCATACATCCAGTGGGACAGTAAGAAATATTTTAGTAGGTTTTCCATTTCCCCTTCTACTACAATCCTCCCCACCGCCCACCCCCAGTCAGAAGCTGTACGTCACTCAAGTGGTAGCTCTCTTCCATTTCAGTCTTTGTTGGTACCTTCTTTCTCCCCCACAAACCCACCCCACCCTATCTGACTCCACCGGAATAACCTAGGACCTCTTACCTCTTCATTGTGTTTTTATCTTTCTCTTTCCAAACTTTCCAAAACCTACTTCTTTTATTACCACAACTCTCTTTGGAAAAGGAAACTTACAATTATTGAACATATTCTGTATATTAGGCATCTATGTATCTATGTCATTTACTTCTCATTATAGCTCAGATGATGTAATATTATTATCCCCATTCTTAGCTGGGAAAACTGAACTTTTTGTTTTTTGGGTTTTTTTTTAAATCATTAAAGGTAGGACTTAAGTCCAGATCTGACTAACTGCCAACTTCACGTTCTTTTCTTTACAGATTTCCTCTTGGCTCTGCTATAGAGCTTTACTTGACTTACACATGTTTAGGTGTTCCTACCATCTTATATTAGCTGATCTTTGAGATTATAAGCTTTAAAAATATAAAAGAGTATTGTTCCTGTATCACCTAGACTAATTGGAGTTTAATAAATTTGGATGACAAATTTTGTTTAAGTCTGTTTGATTTTATAAAAGTTATACATGATTGCGGCACCTAGCTGGTTCAGTCGGTAGAGCATGTGACTCTTGCTCTCCGGGTTGTGAGTTCAAGTCCCACTTTGGGTGTAGACATTGCTTAAAATCTTAAAAAGAATAAATGATCAATATTTTAAAATACAACTTACACAACTGCAAGGAAGAAAATAAATCATACATGATTCTACTACCCCAGGATATCCAATTACTGCTATTTGTTATTCCATGTTTTTCTCTCTATGTATAACCTTTGCAAATATAATTGACATCATACTTTATATATACTTTCATTTTCTTACACTATTAGTAGTACCAAACTAATAATAGTACAATTATATGGATAATACATTTTATTATATGCATACAATTGAAAAGAGCTATAAAGATTAATGTATTATTTTTTCATGCAACATGGAAAAAATGCAAAACTATAAAGTTGAATGATAAAAACCATATATAGTTTATATATATATATATATATATATACATATATATATATATACTGTTTGAATGCATTTAAAGTTTAGCAAAACTAAGATATACTATTAGAAGTCAAGATAGTAAGTGCAGTTGGGAAAGAGGTGTTGTGTAGTGACCTAACTGAGGCATGAGGAGAGCCTTTGGAAACTCTCTTCTCATATTTTTTTAAATTTGATTTTTTGTAGCAGACATCATTTTTCCACACCATTTAAAATTCTTTCTTTTTTTTTTTTTTAAAGATTTTATTTATTTGTCAGAGAGAGAGAGAGAAAGCACAAGCAGGGGAGCGGCAGGCAGAGGGAGAAGCAGGCTTCCTGCTGAGCAAGGAGCCCGATGCGGGACTTGATCCCAGGACCCTGAGATCATGACCTGAGCCGAAGGGAGATGCTTAACCAAGTGAGCCACCCAGGCGTCCCCCATTTAAAATTCTTCTACAATGATGATAACGCTTGTATTTATTTAATCATTTTCTTGTTACTGTTCCTTAAGATTTCTTATTATAGGGCGCCTGGGTGGCTCAGTTGGTTAAGCGACTGCCTTCGGCTCAGGTCATGATCCTGGAGTCCCGGGAGAGTCCTGCATCCGGCTCCCTGCTCAGCGGGGGGTCTGCTTCTCCCTCTGACCCTCCCCCTTCTCATGCTCTCTCTCTCTCATTCTCTCTCTCAAATAAATAAATAAAATCTTTTAAAAAAAAGATTTCTTATTATAAATAATGCTTATGGAACATTTTTTTAAGATTTATTTATTCATTTTATTTATTTATTTACTTATTTATTCATTCATTTTTTAATATATTTATTCATTTGAGAGAGAGAGAGCATGAGAACTGGGGAAGGGGCAGAGGGAGAGGGAGACTCTCAAGCAGACTCCGCACTGAGCAGACTCCGCACTGGGGGATGATTCCAGGACCCCAGGATCACGGCCTGAGCCAAAATCAAAAGCCAGACACTCAACCAACTGAGCCACCCAGGTGCCCCAAGGGACATTCTTATAGATGTTTTTGTACACATCCTTATTTCCTAAAATAAATCCCTGTATGTTAATTTGCAACTTTTTGTGACTTTATGTGTTATCAAATTGGCTTCCTACAAAATTGTGCCAACTTATTTTTCTACTAGCATTAGATGAAGTGCCCAACTACTCATACACTTGGCCACATTTGGTATTATTATGTCCATTGTTAACATTACTAAGCTGATAAATAGAAAGTGGTAAGTCTTCTATTTGTGGTTTCTTGACTATTAGTGAGTTTGGACAACTTTTCATAAATTTAGCTACCTATGTTTTGCAAAATACCTATTTATGACTTTTGTCCACTTTTCTACTAGGATGTATTTTTCATTGGTAAGCTTTTTATATATCAAGGCTTTGAATTTTTTCTCTTCTTGTGCTAACTTCATTTAATTTAAAAAGAACTTCATTTTCAAATAGTTATAGATTCACAGGAAGTTGCAAAATACACTACAGAGTTTCTGTGTACCAAGTTTCCTGCATCGGTAATGTCTTTACATTAACTGTAGTGTATTATCAAAACCAAGAAACTGACATTGGTAAAAAATGGTTAAATAGATTACAGACCTATATAGATTTCTTCACCTATTTTTAAATCTATTAACGGAGATTTTAAACATAAATTTTAATGCAGTCATTCTTATTTTTTTTAAATCATTTACACTTCTGGTTTCTGGTTCCACCATATAAGAACTTGGATGTTGACACTCCACCTTAAGAACAAGGAAGAAGCTGAAGAGACTGAAAAATCAACAACTCTTCTTGGATCTGCAAGAGAAAGGAGGACCCAGGGCAAATCACCACCTCCAAGATTGGAGAGACAGACAAGCAAATGCAAAGAGTTGTAGTTTAGGAGAGCAGAGACTCACAAGCAGAAACCACTACACGAACCAGTGCCAGGGTAGGAAAATACGAACTGTAACTGATGAATTGCCAGAGGCTCAGTGCAGACAAGTCTGACTACGTTAAAAATTCCAAAGGGACCCAGTCATAGGGGAGTCCTGACTATATTGTGAGATTTACCCCTGAGGAGCACAACCAGCTTCCCACAGTAAGTATAGGAGAAAAATCCCCTTGGGCTTCCGTAGGGGGAGGGAAAGGAATGATTTTGAAATACCTCAGAGGATTCTCCTTTTAATAAGACCGACCCTCAGGGGAAAGAATTAACCAGATTCTAACCTAGTCAGGTATTATCAAAGTGTAACTGACCTGAGGAAGGGAAATACCCAAATCCAGTCACTCTAGCCATCTTGTCCCATCTATGGAGAGAGAGAAAAACTTAGAAACACTTGTGAAGTTCACAGTCCAGAGTCACAGTCTCACTAAAAGACTGAGACCTAATCATAGGGATATAAGACACTTCCCCTGGCCCCATACCTCGACACCACATTACTAAAGGTCTATTTATAATAGTTCATTTTATCCAGTACATCATGTTTAGTTATCAAGGAAAAATTAGAGAGCATTAGAAAAGGCAAAAAACACAATTTGAAGAGACAAAGTAAGCATCAGAAGTAGACAAGGCAAAGATGTTGGAATTATTAGATGGGGAATTTAAAACAACTATGAGGGGTACCTGGATGGCTCAGTCAGTTAAGCCTCTGCCTTCAGCTTAGGTTGTGATCCCAGGATCCTGGGATCGAGCCCCATGTAAGGTCCTTGCTCAGTGCAGAGTCTGCTTCTCCTTCTGTTCCCCCCTCCCCACCGCTTGTGCTCTCTCTCTCAAATAAATAAATAAAATTTTTTAAAAAATAAATAAAACAACTATGATTATTATGCTAAGGGTGCTGATAGATAAAGTAGGCAACATGCAAGAATAGATGGGCAATATAAGCAGAGAGAAATTCCAAGGGAAAAAAAAAAAACAAAATAAAATGCTAGAGATAAAAAACACTGCAACAGAAATGATGAATGCCTTGAGGGTCTTATTCTGGACACTGCTGAAGAAAGAACCTCTGAGTACCTGAGTACTATTGATATACATTGATATATCTCTAATATTGATGACATTTTGAGGAATAAAATGTTGAAAGACATGTTAAACCAATAAAAACCCAACAACTGGATTTTAACATTCAGTGTGTTGTGATGAAAAGACAAAAATCGAAGTATTTCTAAGCCACCTGTCACAACATGTAAAAACGGTAAGAGAAAAATTGGGCTAGAATTAGAAATATGAAATGTGCACCTTCTCAGAAAGGATAGCTACAAATGTGGATTTCTTATTGTAATAGGGAGGTAACACTTGGGCAATGTGCTAGTCTGTGTTTTCCTTTCTATATGGGAATGAAAAAATTACAAATTAGAATTAGGGGAAAATATTTAAACCTATCAACTATCTGCAAAAGGATCAGGATAAGAAAAAAAAAAAGATTACCCTATCCCCCATCTGTAAAGTGGGGCAGTAACCTGGACTTCAGAAAACTGTTGTGAATACAGGTGTTTGCACACTATCCACCCACCTTCACCATCACTGCCACACCTTTGGCCCCAAGCACTATTATTTCCTGGTGGTTAGTTGATTGCAATGTTTCCCTAACCAGCTGCTCTTTCTGCAGCCTGCTCCACTACAATTCATTCTCAATCCAGGAGGAGTAATCATTTTAAAACTTAATTCAGATTGTGTCACTCCTCTGCTCACATTCTTGCAATGGCTTCCCATTCCCTTACCTACTTCGAGTTAGGCAGAAAAGTCCAACCCCCTTACCATGGCCTATAAGGCCCTCCACCCACCTTTTTCCTGTGGATCTTCCCAGGCCATCTCCTTCTCGTCATCCAGGTCTTCAGATAATATACCAATAGTATCCTTGAAAACCAAAAAGCAAAGAGCACAAAGTCTGAGAAAAACAACAAAATATCCAAGACAACTACATGAGGTGTAATATACATGTAACGAGAATACCAGAGGAGAAGAAAGAGAGGAAGAAACAGAAGAAATATTTGAAACAATAATGACTGAGAATATCCTCAATTGATTATCAGGCAGCAAACCACTGATCTAGGAAGCTCAGAGAATACCAAATAGGATAAATACCAAAAACAGTATACCTAGGCATATCAATTTTAAACCAGAAAAAGTCAAAGGAAAAAATCCTGAAAGAAACCGGGGAGGGTGACAAAATCTTACCTATAGAGGCACAAAGATAAGAAGAACATCTTTATTGGGGTGCCTGGGTGGCTCAGCCGGTTGAGGCTCCAACTCTTGGTTTCAGCTCCGGTCATGAACTCATGGGTAATGGGATCGAGCACTACGACGGGCTCTGAGCTCAGCAGGAGTCTGCTTGAGATTCTCTCCATTTGACACTCCCCCCACTCGCATGTCTTTGCTCTCTCACTCTCTCTCAAATAAATAAATCTTTAAAAAAAAAAAAAAAAGGAGTACATATTTCTTCATTCTTGAGGTTACTAATAGTCTTTCCATACCAGAATTTTACCAATTCCATATTGGTGGATTACTGCTGGGATTTCCTAAGGAAATACTAAATGGGCTTGAAAATTCTGGTGCCAACCATGAATGTTTCCTTTTCTTCTTGTGGGAACAAATCTAATATTGTCAAGAGTCAGTGTGCTCTCACACTAAGAAATCTGTGTATTTGCACTGTTGTAAAACAAGTCACTTCACTGAATCCTTTGATTAGAGCTTGTGTAGTTTATGAACTGTGTTCCTTTTTAAAAAAAAAAATGAAGTATTTTGTGAAAAACTCATATTTTTACATCCTACATAGGGCAACAGGAAGATGTAAAAGAATTTTATTGTGGGCTTACAGTTTTACCCTAGGAAAGGTAGCCCAGTCAAATCTGTGGATGTAGAACTGTGTACTATTTCTTTTCTTTTTTTTACAATTTTTTTTATTTATTTGACAGAGAGAGACAGAGCGAGAGAGGGAACATAAGCAGGAGAAGTGGGAGAAGGAGAAGCAGGCTCCCCACTGAGCAGGGAGCCAGATGCGGGGCTCGATCCCAGGACCCTGGGATCATGACCTGAGCCAAAGGCAGACGCTTAATGACTGAGCCACCCAGGTGCCCCAATCAATGTACTATTTCTATCCCTGCTGTCTTGCAGGCCCTGGGGGGACAGTGCCAGCCCTGAGTGTTGGGACACTTTGGACTTCTAAGTCTCTCAACTTGAGGCAGATGGCTGAAAGCAGTGCAGTTGGGTTTGGAACATTATTTGGGCACTGAGTTTGACAGAGGATAAAGGGCACATGCAAACCTTTCATAAGCCTCTGCCTCTTGAAATGCGAGGCTCCATCTCATTATAATTAAAAGAAGGAATCAAGACAGTCTGGCCCATGCAGTGGGTTGATTTCCAAAACTGGCAGAACCTAAAACATGAGCATCTAGGTTGTTTCTTTAATTTTTTAGTCATTATAAATAATACTACAATAATATTAATATATGGTGTTTCTATCTTTAACATTTGGTCAGTTATTTCCTTAGGATAAATCCCTAAAAGTGGAATTTCTAAGTCAAAGAATATGCATGTTCATTTACACTTGTTTGGTACATATTGCCCAAACTACCCATTTGAAGGCTGTACTGATTCATATTCCTACCAATGGAACATAAGAATGCTCATTTCCTACATCTTTACCAACACTGGGCATAGACATCCTTTGTAACTTTTGAAGAATTCAATGTCTAATATGAAACAGATCGTGTTGCTCTTCTATTTTAAAACCTCCAGAGTTTCTCCATTGTCCATTCTCAAACATTTTGGTAGCAGGACCTCTTCATGGTTTTAAAAATTATTAAGGGCCCCAAAGAGCTTTTATTTACATGAATTATACTTATTAATATTTCCTGTATTATAAATATATTACTGTAAGTTGATATAAACAAAATTTGAATTTTTTATTTAATTCATTAAAAAATAAACCCATATGTGTTAACACAAATACCATGTTTATGAGAGATAACTATTTTCCAAAAAAAAAAAAAAAAAAACACTAGTGAGATATATGGCATTGCTTTACATTTTGCAAATCTCTTTAATTCTGGCTTAAAAGATATTTTATTATAGTAGAAACAGAAGTCTCATATCTGTTTTGGCATTCAATTTGTTGCAATATTGCACATCATATAGCCTTTGGAAAACTTTCCTGTACCCACAGGAGAGGAGAATGAAAAAAGTAAACAATGTCTTAGTATTATTATGAATGTAGTTTTGGCCTCATGGACTCCCTCAAAGGTTCTTGGAGACCTCAGGGGTCTGCAGACAGTACTTAGAGAACCATAAAGTCCAAAGGATCAAGTCTAACTCTTTAGCATGCCATGAGTCCTTTCTTGATTCAACCCTAAACTTCCATTGATTATTCTATCATGCTCATTCTTACAGCCATACAGAAGTCTGACTCCTTCCCAAACACATTATGCATTTTCAGTTCTATATGTTTTTATAAATACTATTCTTGATTCCAGGAATTCCTGTCCCTGGTGGCTATATTGAGATTAGAGGGAATTCAATAAATTATAACCCTCTCCAAGCTCTGAATAAACTAAGAAATAAAACAAAAAAGTAAAAACAGAGAGAACCAAGTATCACTTTCATTACCAATAGGGCTGATTTTGAAGAATAGAGTTAGCTTACTATATGGCAGCAATGGGCTTCTTGATAGTCTACTCCCGGAACTTCACAGATAGACCCACCCAGATGCAGACAGTGCTGGGCAACTATGGGCCTCCAACAGAGTCTCCCTGCTCCCTTATTAAATTTTTTTTCAAAGATTTTATTTGTTTATTTGAGAGAGAGCATGAGAGAGAGTGAGAGCACAGCAGGGGGTCGGGGCAGAGGGAGAAGCAAGCTCCCAAGGAGCAGGGAGCCCGAGGCGGGGCTCAATCCCAGGACCCTGGGATCATGACCTGAGCTGAAGGCAGACGCTCAACCAACTGAGCCACCCAGGCGCCCTTCGTTATTAAATTTTGAGAAAGAAAAGGGGCTTACTCAAAAGAGGAGAAAGGAGGAAATACTTGAGCTACATGCAACCACCAGTTCCTTATCCCAGAGTCAACAAGTAGGTACCTCACTCCATCTTTCTGGAAGGCAGATGACTGAGGGAAAAACTGGGAGAAACTGAGGGGGGTGTTATGCTTGTGGTTTTCTTTCCCATGAAAGAAAACAGGAATGGGAATGAAACATACTCTCCACCTACTTCCACACACACACCCCACCAACAATATCCCTTATCTACATACCCCTTTATCATACTCAAATGTTACCTATTGGATGACACTTCATTTAACTTCCTGACATATTCTCCCCTCTGCTTACATAACATTTTGTACACATAAATTCAACAAGTGATACTCAAACTATTACATGCGAGACATGAAGAACACAAATACAAATAATGTACTATTTCTGCCTTCCAAAACTTGGGGAAATGATATTTATGACAGCATCTCTGATATAGCTCTCAGATTCTTAGCCCCTACATTTATTCTGTCAACATATTTGGAAGCACTAAGTACACAGACACCCTTTTTCTATGAAATAATTTATGCATGTCATTGCACCATCTGAAATCTGTCTACATCATTTGACCCTCACAAATCTGTATTCAACTTGCATGATGCCCCTGAAATCTTTCCACACTACTCTCATTTCCTATCAAGATCTAGCCAGACCAGTGCCACCAGTAATAATCCCTCAAACCTAACAATTCATTTTTTTATCCTTCCCATTTCCCTCGTAATTTTATACTTCGGTGCATACCTTTGTGTGTTTGTGTGTATTGTATTTATAGCTATAATGGTAGAAACCTGCCGTAGCACAGCTCAGTATATAAGGATTTGGAAATAACATAGGCCAAATCCCAGATCCTAAGACCCAGCAGTAAATATAATAAAAGCCTGATATAACATGTTTAACCTATAAGGAGGGCACTGTTTCTGTCCCTGAACAGCTCATTACAGAGATTCCACTGCATTGTTATTTCTCCCCATCTCCATGGCAGCCTGCAGACTCCTTGAGAGCACGATCATCGGCAGAATGGTTAGATTAAATGACCTTTGGGAGGGGTCTGCTTTTACCCCCCCGAAATTCTCTAATTCTGGTGAGTTTCTTCTACTTGGAAGTATGGCACAAAAGCTTCATTTTACCAAAGCTCCTGGCACATAGTCTGTCACAGTAGTTAGAAGTACAGATGCTGAAACCAAGAGTAACTGGCCTCAAATCCAGGCTATCTGTGTGACTTTAAAACAAATCACTTCCTTTCTTTTCTCCTTTTTTTAAGATTTTATTTATTCACTTGCCAGAGAGAGAGGGAGAGAGAACACAAGCAGGGGGTAGTGGCAGGCAGAGGGAGAAGCAAGCTCCCCACTGAGCAGGGAGCCAGATGTGGGGCTCGATCCCAGGACCCTGGGATCATGACCTGAGCCGAAGGCAGACGCCCAACCGACTGAGCCACCCAGGCGTCCCAAATCACTTCTTTCTCTATGCCTCCATCAACTCATCTGTAAATTGATACTAATCATACCCGTCTCATAGGGCATGTTGTGAGGATTAAACAGTTAATATATATAAGCACTTAGAACAGTGGCTACCATATACTTAGTGTACAATAAAGTATCAATTACCAGTTAGTACCAGCAAATATGTGTTCAGAGAATGCTATAATCCCCAGTAACTTAAAATACACGTTTAATAGGCACTCAGGAAGTTCTGTAGACCGAACTTGGGTCTGAATTTTATAGCCTTATCCAATCCTTTTAAATACCATGTCTCATTAAAATAAAAACATTTCAAATTAGAAAGGCAGTTAGTCTTTACTAAAAACTAATTCCCAGTATATATACCAGGCATATACATGTTGAATCTACCAATGAAATCCTATTATAAGACCATGTTTGTATAGTTCTATTATATTCAAAAATACTCATATCCATTTTTAGAGCTTCAATCAAGCATTTACACAATATCTGTAATATCTCTTCTTGGCAAAATCTTGCTACAGGTGTGTCAAATGTTCTAATCATACCACCAGGTACAGACACTGACTGCAGTTTAAAAGATATAATCAAAGAACATATTGAATAATTCCATAAAGCTTAGAAAGCGAAGCTAACTTTCAACCACAGAATGGCTTAAGAAGTGGGTAAATTTGGCACATTTGCTCTTAAGTCATTTTAAAAGCATTAAAACATATTTCAAAGATTTCAAACATGCAATTATTTTTTCTGCCACTCAAAACATGAAATAAACATCACTTTAGAAAGATATGTGCTTTTTTATCTATCAAAACAAACAACTTAATGAATAAAAATTGTTTTCCCAAACCATTTTTCATACATTTGCAACTCATCCAGCAAATCCCAGGTCTGAAATTACAGAAGCCATTGGTGAAATGTATCATTGTCCCCCCAGATTAAAATGCATTAAATTCAAGGTGTGGTTATTCTATGAAAAACTACTCTAAAAACATGTATCATGCATTTACTTTGGAATTGCATTCACTAGCAAAATTGCACTTTTGTCTCCTTGGATGGCACTGATATTTTATGTTTATCTTGTAGATCGGTGTTATTTTATAATCACATCCTCCCTGTATTTATCCAAAGTGATAATTATCTTTTAAATTAGTAAATAACTCTGGGTCACCTACTCTTTATGAGGTATTTGGCTGGATATTATAAGGGGGGGTCCAGCTGGTGACAACAGGTTTACCCCTCAGGTTTCCCATTTAGGGAGGGCAGAAAGGTAAGGCAAATGAATAAACCAAATATAAGACTCTCCGCTCTGTCCCTGTCCCTTTACCAGTTCCAGGCCCACTATGTCATCATGATGAAGATCTAGACCTCTGCCCTAGACCACTCTTGCTTGACTTGTTTGCCATTTGTCTCCAACTTCTTATTCTGTGATCTCTTAGTTGAAAATGTTTCCCTATACACACCCCAGGTTGGTGCATTTGTTAACAGACACATTTGGAGCCTCTTGGCTGACTTGGATTTTTCTCCGCTCTTGAGCCCCAGCCTTGCAAAGCTCCACGTAAGAGATCTGCCTGCCAGTTCTGCACTGTAAGACTGACCTTACTTAGCTGAGACCCCTCCTCATCCCTTGCTTCCCCTTCTCCTCACAACCTGCCTGCCATAGAGGGGAAATCAGAAAAAAATACTAGACAATCTTTTAGTATAATGATGACATACAGAATGATAGATACCAGTCGTTACAGTAAGTTGGAAGAATGCGAAATGGCTTCTGATTTTGAATCTTCTTTTCTTGATGCTGCTTAGGGATGGGCTTCAAGGATGCCCAGTAGGAGGAACTAGAGCAGAAGCCTGTTGATACTCATCAAATGATTAGATTTTTCTTGGGGCGCCTGGGTGGCTCAGTCGTTAAGCATCTGTCTTCAGCTCAGTCCCAGGGTCCTGGGACCGAGCCCCGCATCGGGCTCCCTGTTCCGCGGGAAGCCTGCTTCTCCCTCTCCCACTCCCCCTGCTTGTGTTCCCTTTCTCGCTGTGTCTCTCTCTGTCAAATAAATAAGTAAAATCTTAAAAAAAAACAAAAAGATTTTTCTTACCCAAATAGTATATTTTTACATGTGTGATTTTCCACCTTTTTAAAAATAGTGTCAGGATGCTGGTAGAGAGAACTAGAACTTTTTGAACAGTTTCTACATGCCAGACACTTTCCAAGCCCAGTCTTACTTATTATTCCCCTCCATATTCCAGCTGGGAAGATGTTTTATCTGAGAGTGAGATACTGAGTCATGCCGGCTGCCTCGGGCACCACAGCTTCCCACTTCTTGGCACTTTGCGTTTTAGAATTGCTGTTGCCTTTGCTACTGATTTCAAAGTGAGTCAGACTTTATAGTCACCCCAAACACAATGAACAACTTTTCCTATTTAAATGGAACATCGTTACAAATTCCAACTAGTGGCCTCAGACAAAGGCAGCAGATCAAAGCAGGTGGCCCACCCTAGGAAGACAGACCCGGAACTTCTCTGGATTGACAGGGATAGGTGGTGCACGGCCTGGCAGCAGGGGTTTCCCTGGACCCAGATTGGCATCAAAGAAAAGCAGGGAAGATAAGGCTAAAGGAAAAATCATGTAGCAACCCAAAATTTGCAAGCAGCAGCCTGTCGTTGAGACAGAGCCAGAGGATAGGACTGCATTGTGAATCCCTGAAGCCACTGATCTCTGGTTGCTAGGGAAAAAGAATTCACGCAAACACAAAATTTTGTGCCATAAGGAACTTATGTGTCTGTAAACAGCAAGAACGCCTGCTAGTGGAAAACATGGACATGGCATCTCTCCCACACAAACTTTTTGCCAGTAGCTGGTCCAGCAAAAAAAAAAAAAAAAAAAAAAAAGACCTCATTCAAAAATAAGCATCCATGCAAAGCTACTATAGGAAAATAAGAGAAGAAACAGAGATAAAATGGAAGGCCAAGAATATACAACAGAAAAAAATTTTTCCATAAAACAAATAAATATTTGGGCCAAAAATATTGCCAAAAATTTGAAAGGTAAAAGACCTAAACAGAGCTCCCATACCTATAAAGCAAGAGCTCATATTGGATATACAAGAGCTCAGGGAAGATACTGCAAGCCAATTGGAAATGAAATATGATTTCGCAGAGCCCAGGAATCAAACATTTCACTGGCAGCAACCAGATTCTGTTAAAAACATGGAAAGAAACAAGTATGTGAGGAATAGAAAAAGAGTGTAATTCAATGAAGTAGAAAAAAAATTCAAAAGAATTATGAAAGAATAATAGCTAGACAGGACAGAAAAAAGGCCTTAACATACACAATAACTAATATCTTGAAGAGATTGAAAAAGAATAAAATAGGAAAAAAGTTATACTTCAAAGTAGCTTTTCAGAAATATAACTCAAGACTCTAGACTGAGAGGACTCACTGAACCCTGGGAAAAATTTACACAAAACATTCAACCCTGAATCATGTTTCAGTAAAGTTGCTAGAACTCCAAGAAAAAAGCTGTTGTACATTAAGGCAAAAAGTTTAAGTCGTATTGTTACTTTCCACAAAAATGTTCAGTGCTAGAAGACACTGGAGCAATAGTATAATAGCAAAGTCCTCAGGAAATAAAGTTCATGATCCAAGAATTATACACAGCCAAAGAGTCATTAAAGTATAATGAAAATGAACATTTTTTGAGCTTGCAAAAACTCAGGCAATGGGGTACCAAGTCCTTTCTGAAGAAACTACTATGGGCCAAATTTTGAAAAGCAAAGAGATAAGTGGAGTACTGATCCTAAGTATTGACTTCATTTAACTGTAGGACTAAAACTAAAATAATTGTGGAGGTTATGGTCACAGAACAGAATTTAAATGTGATAAACTCTAATGATGTAGAAATAATATAGCAAAGGTTTGGAGGGGAAGAGGACAGATGGTGGGTAGTAATGTCAATATGCTGATTTTCTCATCCGCTAGAGCAGAGGATAGAAAGATTATTGAAGCTGATAAATCATGTAATAAAGCTACAAGTACATTTCAAAGTCTAAAGAGTATGATATGAAAAATTATATGATCATCAAAAATCAGGTACGTTGGGGAGAAAGATGGGGGAGGAATAGAAAAACTAATTTCATCATTCCTCATGGTAGGAAGTCAATAGATAGCTGTCCAGAGATATAGAAGTTTAAATAGAAGGGGCACTGTCATATATGGCTAATGAGAGTGACTACAGGAAGGACTTCATAGGACTTCTCTAGCCCTGTTGTGTGGGACCAAGAGACAAAGGGCAGCTTTTGCAGAATTCAACTTTAGGGACTCACAAGAAGTGGAAAGACAGCTGAGGGGCAATGAATCCTTCCCTACCACAAAATATGAACAATCTCTCCAGCACTACCTTATTATACTGTGGTTTATAAACTGTCACGATGAGTGATCACCCAACATCTTTGGAATATCATGTGCCACTTTCCCCAAGGAGGCCAAAGTTGCTTTCCCAGCTTCCTTTACAGCTAGAGTACAGGCACGTAACCAAGGCTCCAGCAATCAGACACAACCACACAGGACTTTGACACCCAAGAGAGCAATGGGAGGAATCCATCTTTGGCCATTGTGCTAAATTAGGACTCTAGCTTTCAGGGACAGCAAAGGCAGAGGTTCTGATATCAAGCGCCCAGTGGTGGTAGCATTGTCTAAAGAGTGGAGCAGCTATAAAGAGTGCTTTGGGCATTATTCCTAGCTGGCTGCCTTCTAGATAGAGGGGAGTTCTGTTATTTGCAACTATGAACCATGCCTGATAATGCATCATCGTGGCAGAACACACACTTAAAAAGCCAAAAACAAAATTCAAACATCCTTTCGTGTTAAAAAGACCAAGGGCCTACTGTTTTCATTAGCTCCTAGTCTAGAGATCACTTACACAGTAGCTTCAAATTAAGAAGCCAAGTATCTGTGAAACGTCCCTTCCCTACAACATGTTATCTACTTTAAATGTAAGTTAAAGAATGGGCTCGGTTAAAATAGATCTTAGTTTAAAAAAAAAAAAAAAAAAAGATAGTAGGAAGGGAAAAATGAAGAGGGGGAAATCGGAGGAGGAGATGAACCATGAGAGACTATGGACTCTGAGAAACAAACTGGGGGTTCTAGAGGGGAGGGGGGGATGGGTTAGCCTGGTGATGGGTATTAAAGAGGGCACGTATTGAATGGAGCACTGGGTGTTATACGCAAACGATGAATCACGGAACACTACATCAAAAACTAATGATGTAATGTATGGTGATTAACATAATAAAATAAAATTTAAAAAAATAGGTCTTAGTTTTAAGTGCAATTACACTAGAATCACCAAAGTCAAAGCATTCCAAGTAGGTAAGATCAAATACAACTGAAACTTACTCTTGGCTTGCTGAAAGCCTTGGGAAGATTTTATGGATAATGATCCTAAACTCATCTAAAACGTTTATTCTAGGCTCCAAAGCTTGCATTTAAGCCCCAAGTGTAGTCAAGGTCATTGCCTACTGTGAAAGGGTTATGGTAAAATGTCATTTCCATTGCTCCCTCTCTTGTTCATGGCTATGAAAAGCAGCAAAATGTACACATTCATCCTGCAGTTCTGTGATAAAGAAGTACTGCAGCTGGTGAATTTTACTAACGAAGAGATTAATTTACTTCAGAATCTAGGTATTGAGTACAAAGCGTTCCAGTCCAGTGGTTCTCAGAGTGTGGTTCCTGAGCATCAACATCATTTGGGAACTTCCTGGAAATGCAAATTCTTAGGCCCCACAGACAATTTACTGAATTGGAAATTCTGGGGGTGAGGCCCAGAATTCAGTGTTTTATAAAAAAAAAAACTCGGGGTGCCTGGGTGGCTCAGCCAGTTAGCATCCACTCTTGGTTTTGGCTCAGGTCATGATCTCTGGGTCCTGGGATCAAGCCCCGCATTGGGCTCCATGTTCAGCGGGGAGTCTGCTTAAGGATTCTCTCCCTCTCCTTCTGCCCCTCTCCCACCACCCCCAAAATAAATACATAAATCTTTAAAAAAACAAAACTTCTCTTGGTGATTTTCATGTATACTAAAGTTTGAGAACCACTTTCTTTGGAAGCACAACTAAACCACTCCAATCAAAGGACAATCTACTCCTGAGAAGGGAAGAGAAAGATGTACCTTCTTAACAGCATATTTCAGACTATTAAAGGAGTTCTCCCCTAGAACTAACCTAACTTCTCATGTAGCATACACTCATTTCTTCTTCTACAGAGGGGATAGAGGACTTTTGGTTACTACAAGCCAATATATAACTTTTCTTGGGACCATTAGACATCAAGTACTCTTCAATCTTCTCCTTGTTCCTTTTACCTTTATTTATAATCACTTAAAACTCTTCGTCATCCTTGTCAAGCTCCAGAATAAAATACCTCATTTTACCATTCAAATAGATTAAAATACACTTTGTCATTGAACCATAGAAAATAATGCCACAAAACCTAGGTCTCTTATATTCCACCTCTGTTTTAAAGTACATGTACTTCTAAAATAAAAATCAAATTTTAGGTCTGTCATTTCAAGATATCTTGATTCTTCCCCATCCCTGTTCTTCCTTAAAAAAAAAGTTTTAGTTTATTGTAAGGTCACTAAGTATTTCACATATATTGCATTAAACATTCTGATCCTCATTTGCCCTATTAAATTAGAATTGACCAGATGGATATTCCTCTGACTCTCTCTCCTGAGCAGGTTTTAGTTAATTAAAAATGATTATTTTTACTACGTATTTTATATATTGGCCAGATGTTACCTGTGGTCATTTCTGGAAAGGATCATTTCGTGGTGGTTATAAAATACATATTTTCCTTTGGGACGCCAGACTCTTGAGCACGATCAGGAAAACAAATGTGGAAATTGATTTCACCTCATACCTTTTTCTTAGTGCCAAGGTGGCCATAATGCTTCATTTCCTTTGAAAGTATGATCTATTCAAATTCTTTCTTCTATCTCCATTCTGGCTCTATTTATGTTGCATCAAAAAATTATCAGGTTGGTAGAAGAAAAATTAATATTGGTACTAGCAGTGTAAGTTGTTTTTAAAAAAAACCAAAAAACTGATTTGGTTTCTCTAGATGTGGTTTGTGTAAGACATCTACACACGGCCTAGCAAACTGTTCTGCTCCATCAAGACAGAGACTCCGTGCACAGAGGATGAGACTTCCAGATAGGATTTCTAACAGTTCCTGCTTTTATACAGGTCTCCTTAGAAGCTATTTTTCATGGAAACTAATTTGCCTAAATTTCCTGTTAGCGCTGAAATAATCTAGAATGAGGCAAAGATACTGTAATTATGAAATTGTTTTGTGATTGCACTAGTCATTTTTTCTCCATTTGTAGACAAACCAGAATCCAAACAACCCCCTTCTCAGTTTTGTCCTTAAAAAAATAACAAACACAATAAAGCAACATGCAACTTTTTTTTTTTTTAATTTCAGTTTTCAAGGTCACCCCAAATTCGGAAAAGTCTAATGGATGGAATTAACCACATCGTCACCTGGGCTAGATTTAGATGGTTGGTCTCTAAAACACCATTTAGAGGACTTTTTTTTTTTTAGATTTTGTTTATTTGAGAGAGAAAGCATGAGTTGGGGGGCGGAGCAGAGAGGACAAGCAGACTCTGGCTGAGCACAGAGCCCAATGTGGGGCTAGATTCCACAATCCTGAGACCATGACCTGAGCCAAAATCAAGTCAGAAGCTTAACTGACTGAGCCACCCAGGCGCCCCCAGAAGACTCTTATGAGGCAAAAGTGAGTCATTTCAAAGTCTGAATTTCACACGCTGAGAAACATAATGTTAGGTGCAGGAGGGTGTATAAACAAGAAACTTTCAATTCCAAAGCCCTGGCTGTTTTGTACAATATTTCATGGCCAAACTATGGACCCAAGTTCTGGTCTCAGCTCTGACTTTCTACATGGTCTTACGTAAGTGACCTCCCTACATTCGGTTTCTTTTCTTACATAAAGAATGTTAGTTAGAAATATATATTCTCTAAAGTCTCTTTAAGCCCCCAAATTATATGATTTGTTGTTTAAAAAGTAACTTTAAGGACTAATATGCTTTATTGAGCAACTGGGACAATTGGGGTGGGGGTTGCTTTATTAACTTAGGAGACACGGCCCTCATTTTCTGATCGTATAAAGCATCTGCTGCCTATGTTCTGAAGTACACAGTTCTGCTTGTAGTAAATCACAGTCACCTTGAAAATGATCTCTTCCTCTTATGTTTTCCTAGCAATCAACATTTACTAGGGTCTTCCTATTAAAGTCATCTGTGTTACATTTGATTTCGAGAGCCAGGTAAGGGGCAGACATTGATGATGAAGAGCCTGATAGTTCTTGGAATAAATTGTCCCCCAAAATATAAGATTACGTACCTTCAGATCAGGCCATGTTCGTCAGTCTCTAATAGGTTGGACGGACTCACAGTCTTAATTTCCTATGTGAACCTATAATTGTCCGCAGGGGTCAATTTCAGTGGATGCCTCATATAAATTAGAATTGAAGATAATGATGCCTGTTCACTTGATCAACTAAAATGACCAGCTGGGTTTAATGGGAGGAAAACAGAAACCCCTGTGAAATTGGAATAGCTTCAAAGGTGATAGAATGTAATTATTTTTCTGCAAAGTTTCTTCTCCAAGGGTGACTGGCCATTGTGCCGTGGGCACCTGGGCTGCCATGTTATGAGAGTAGATATGACATTCGGAGCTACTGACCGTATCCAAAGGTGTAAGTCAAGAGTCAGCTTTCTGCTAAGGGAATGGGGAAAGCAGGATTTCTTCTCCCTTCTTATTTTAGTCATTTCATTTACAGTTGGAGAGGTGCTTTAGGGACCTAATTGATTCCCAACAGGCAAATTCTAATTCAGATTGCTACAAAAGTGTTTTCTCTTTATAGCCATAAAATATATTCTAGAATTTGTTATAATTATCCTTAGGGTAATGTAATTTTAGGTCTGAAAGGACCTTGATAGCACCTGCCCAACCCCTCTCTTCTACAGATGAAGAAGCTGAGGTCCAGAGATGTGAACGGACTGAACCAAGGTCATAGGGCTAGAACAAGGAAGAAGCTGGCTATCATCCCACAATCAGAAGGTGTAACCAATACAGATGCCCAGTCTGGGATTTCCCACTTAGGAGTAGCTGGAGACTCACTCCATGAAAATCCCCATTTAAGAAAACGTATGTTCTAGGGGCACCTGGGTGGGTCAGTTGATTGGGCGTCTGCCTTCGGCTCGGGTCATGATTCCAGGGTCCTGGGATCGAGTCCCGCATCGGGCTCCCTGGCTCTGCGGGGAACCTGCTTCTCCCTCTGCCTCTCTCTCTCTCTGTCTCTCATGAATAAATAAATGAAATCTTTAAAAAAAAAAAAAAAGAAAGAAAGAAAGAAAAGAAAACGTAGGTTCTATCATGTGGGAGAGTTGCTAGCAAGCCAAACTGGCAGACGGGGAACACTGGGAGGGACAGGGAGCCAAGGAATGAGTAGCCCACAAAGCAGATGACCGTTCCCCAGAGCGGACAGTAAGCTCTGATGATGAGCCTGTGTGTGCTGAGGGACAGTGGTGCACCCCCCCGGGTGACTGCACGTATTCGGGAGCCAGACTGGGCCTGGGCTTGATTCTTGACTCTGCCGGTTGTGAGCTCTGTGATCTCTGACAAGTTGCTTCAGCTCTCTGTGACTCAGGCCCTTGTCTGTATAAAAGGACGATAATATCAGTACTGACTGTTACAGGGATTAAATAAATATTAAATACACTGATCTATGTAAAGAGCTTAGCATGCATTAAGTGCTACATTAGCGTTGGCTGTTTTCCCCTCTATTCACTATGCCAGAAAATCTTAAAAGTTTCAGGATATATACGTAAGTTGTATTCATTAATAGTGTTACTGAGGTGCTTTATGATATAAATATGCAGACTCTACTAGACAGACTCAGAAAGTCACTGATAAAACCTCTTTCTGTGTTTAATGGATTATTTTTCATTTGGTGTTGTTACAATTTAAAGTGTTGTTTTTTTTTTCCAAAAAAATAAACTACAGAGATTTTTTTATTTAAAAAATGCAATAGCCATAGTATCATGTATCAACGACAGGAGTTTCATTAGCAAAACAATTAATAAGAGAGCATATCTGTTGCAAAAATTAAAGACAGATTTTCATGGCAGGAAATTAGTGCCAAGTCAGTGACTCCTGAAGTCATCAGAGTACGGCCAGCAGCTCAGGGATGCTATGTTTTCTCTCGCTAAAGGCACGTTTCTTGGGCAGTTTAACGTTTTTTTTTTGCCCCTTAGAATTTATTGCTGTCAAAGCTATCATATTTTACTCAGAATTCTTAAGAGAAAATCTTCACAAAATTAACAATACAGATCTTCAAGTAATTAGGACCATTCAGAGGCACCTGAAAAGAATACCATGTATGGATTAGTTGTTTTTTCTTTTATTCTTTGAATTAAATTCAGTGAAAGTTTTAAGGGGGAAAAAAAAGTCAGTTATCTATTCATTCCCTCATGTTTTAATTAAATAATTTTAGCAATTACGTAGAAAAACACATTTTACATGTTGCTGTAAAGCACTTTTCTGGAACTGGTCGCTGATTTAAGACATCGGAAGATCATGATAGGCCGCATATCTTCCAGTAACGTGATGGTAAATCTGTGAGGAAAACCAGAGTTTAGTTAATTAATAATTATCATGTATCATATATATCAATTAATAATTATACTATTAAATAATTAATAATTATAATTAATGTTTCCTTATAAAGCCCCATATTATTATGCATTTCCGCAGACTCTCCATTCAACCCACTTCAGGTGGAGGTTTGCTTGGACGAAAGCAGAAGTTTGGGTGTGATGAGGTAAATCAGATGAGTTTTTTCTCTAGCTCTCATAGCCCAATAGGGGATTTTTCGTTTCTTTCTCAAAAACACACTTGTCAATTTGTCCCAAGGACAATGGATTATTACACACCTGCCTCTCGATGTCCGAAAGCAGAGTACTGGCACCTATTCGAAACAGTTCTGGTGTCAGCCATTCATCTCCCAGCTCTTCCTTCACGAGAGAGAGCCAAACAAGGGAATCCTTGGCATTGCGGATGCCTCCTGCTGGTTTAAAGCCTACCTATAAGGAAAGGTGGGAAAGAGAGCAGGGTCTAATGTTATCGGAGTGCTTTAAAAACCGGACCTGCATGGGGGCGCCTGGGTAGCTCAGTTGGTTGAGCTTCTGACTCTTGGTTTCAGCTCAGGTCATGATCTCAGAGCTCTGGGATCCATACCCTCGTCAGGCTCCACACTCAGCACAGAGTCTGCTGGAGAGTCTCTCCCTCTGCTCCTCCCCCTGCTCATGCACACTCTCATTCTCTCTCAAAACTAAATAAAATCTTTAACAACAACAAAAAAGGGTACTGTGTTAGTACAGGGTCTCGATTCTCTTTCTCTCTTTTTTTAAAGTCTATTTCACTTCACCCAGCAAAAGAGCTTAGATCACTGACTCGCGTCCATTCACGCTACAAAATGACTTTTTCAAGATTAATGGGAAGAGTGTCACTGTTTCTGAGGAGACACTAATGAGCGTTAATAACCCTCATTAACATTGCACTTATTGAAAAGTCATAAACCTCAACCATCTAGACTATAGCTGTGAACCGGGGATAAACAAGAGAGGTGTCAATAACTAAGAAAAACAGATCACAAAAGCACATCCATTCTACATTTCTATAAGTAAGCCTGTCTAGTCGCCTCTCAGCCCTTCATCCTGAGGTGCAAAAGACACATACATGTATTCAAAGTAAGAGAAGAGAATCAGGGAGGCCACACTAACCAAACTGGCAGCAATCAGAAAGGAGTGTTGACAGTTATTTTCATCAACTTAAGTGTAGGGACTTTTTTATAAGTTGTAAGTGGAAAGAGTTCTATGAAGCAGCCAGACCAGTTAAATAAGCACAGTAGAAAAAGACAGTGTAGGAGCTCTTCACAGTTCAGTAGTCTTTGAAGGTGAGCATAAAACAGCATAACTCAGCCCATATCTGATGTTCACAAATGATGTCCCTGAGTCCATTAGAAATGGATAAATGTGTTCTATAAACAGTAAAACCTGTTTATCTGGATTTACTTGTCTCAAGAACTTGAATCCAGTATAGGAGAGACTCTAGAGACAGGAGCAGTCGAGAAAACACTGCATAGCCCAAGTACTAAAGCTCAGGCATTCGAACACTAAGAGCCGTTAATTCGATGGGTAGCCCCAACACGGGGTTTATGGCTAACAGAATGCTAGAGAAGGGAGACAATAAATGAATGGTCCCATAATTAATCCAAGCTGGAAACCTCAGGGTTAACCTGGACTCCACGATTTTCCCCACCACACCACACCCAATCAACAGTCCAGTCCTACCGATCTTCCCTCCCTAACTTCTGTATCTCCCCCCACTCCCACACACACTTCTGCCGCTTTCATTTAGACCCTCACTAGTTCTCATTAATACCGGTCGGTCTCCTGACCGGCTTCCCCGCCTCAGTCACTCATTACCACATGGCTATGCAGCAGCTGTATACTGATCCTAACCCTATCTGCCTATTACCCAGGAGCCCAAGTGGCTCTGAAAGACTGCGGGGGCACGGGGTGAGTGGGGGAGATAAATAGGATGAGATTATTTATTGAGAAGAGGCCCCCAAAATCAATTAGCTGATATTAGCATACATGTTAATCATAAGCGCTTTTCTGTCAATTAGACTGTGCTGCATATAGATTTTTCTATACAGTTCAGTTGTGTCAGCAAGTCTGTTTGGCAACGTTTCTAAAAAGAGGTTCTAGCATAAGTTTATCCTTTTTTTTTTTAAGGGAGAGAATATGGAAAACATAAATCTGCAATGAAATCAGTTATGAAATATTAAACCTCTGCCGCTCAGAGTGACACTAAGCATGGTCTGGAAGACGGCCCATCACATTTTAAAACACCCCTTAAATCAATGATGTAGAAAGTTTACAGTCTAAGGGCTGCCCAGGCAACTTGTCAACAACCTGGAAGGATGCACCTGATTTGCAGACATATACACAGGTCCTCACTATGTGAAATCACATGTGATTAAAATGAATATGATTTGACTTGCATCTGTCTGTTTCGTAATAAAATTGGGATGAACTTTATTATCTGAGGAAAGGGTCATTACCATTAAAAAGAAGTACTGAAAGACAGCAAAAAAGTCCCTTCTTACTATACTCTGGCCTAGAATATTGAGCACTTAAAACTTTTATTGAAATTCTTTGCTTGTTGTCTACGAGCTCTCCTGGGAAGGGACTTGTTCATTTTGTATCCCTGTTAACATAGGTTAACATGGCACACAGTTAACTACTCAATAAATGTTTGTTGAGAACACAGCAGGATTGGGTCTCCAATGGTGAGTTTTAATCCTGACTACAGAGCTTATGAAACATATAGATGCCTGAGGATTACCTCTCATCCGGAAGTGCTAGGGATGAGGGCCCAGGCATCTACAAGCGTAAAAAGCTGCACATTTATTTTATTGTACTTTGGCGGAAAATAAGAACCACTGGTCTAAAAATGGTGGTGGTCTCAGCTGATGGGACCAAAGATAGAGTTCTCTTTTTGACGGCTAAACATTTTTTTTTTATTTGGATCAGTGCAGAAAGGCTACCAACAAAGAGGTTACTCAAATGGAGTCAACTGTCATATGTAAGGTCACAGTAGCTATCTTTCCTATTTGTACTTTTTTTAAGAGAGGAAGTTATTCTGAAGGAGAAAATTCTGGAAGGAGTTCATTTCCTCTCAAACCCAGTACATTCTAAAAATGGTCTCCAGTTCCTAAAATGAACCGAAGATACAGTCACATATAAAGTCATCATATCTAGTTGGCGAAGGATTAAAGGTCTTTTCTGGGTTTCCATTTGGCAGAAATCCAGAGATTGGTTTTAAAAGATGCCTTCTGAGGAAGGGACAGTCTCATTAAACAAACAAACAAACAAAAAAAACAAACTACCTTTCTCTCCAATGATGTAAAAAAAAAAAAATCCTTTGAGATAATTTGCAGCTAAACAAGCAACTTGAAGTGAAAAGGAAAATCCAAACTCATTTTAAAAAACCTCATACACATTTTTCTTTTTAACTTCATATGTTTCAAAAAATATGTATTATTTTTCAAAAAGCTGACAAAAGCTAGCACATACCCTCCTCAGCTTAACAGTCTTCCAAAGAGCACATCCAACTGCCATAAAACGCAAAAATGGATATTTAATTCAAGAGCTATATAACGTCTAGCTACCTTTTCCCTGCTGTTTCACAGCATTTCATTATTTTGTTTAATAAGTTCATCTCCTCGAGAATTTTCTCTTCACCTCATATTATTAAAAGTAATAAGTTTTTCTGGACCGGGGGTTTCCCAACAGAAAAACCAATTTATGTGTGTCCTTCAATAATGACAGGAAAAGATTATTTCCCATTATATTGCATACTTTTCATATCACCACCACAGCTTATCATTCAATAAATGTTACTCTGCAATTCTTTCCATTCCTCAAGGAAGTTTAATTTCTGCATTAACCTGTTTTCGCTGGCCAACGCCTTACCAGAAAGCCTCTGTGCTGTAGCAGAATTAGTTCGTTAAAGAACCCATTTAGGAATCTCTTGTCAGTGATAAAATTGTCTTCAGTTAATAAAAGGACATAAAGTGAGTTTACATCTTGATCACACATACCTACTCCCACACTCACACTCACTTTCTGTTAATCGCACATTTTTCTCCATGAATGTGTTCTTTTGTAATGAAAGGTAAATTAAACATTTATCTTCATAAAGGTAACTCATTCACACCTTCTGCATATAAAGACAGTTTCTGTGGCTGTAACTAGTATTATAAATAACATTATCTTTACTCTGAAGAAAGATTTGCTGGCAATAATATACCTTGTTTCCAGTTTTCCAGAAGAAATCTCTAATGGCCCGTAGCATTACTATAGCTACCGGGAAAGTGGCATTTACTGTTTCTTTTCCAGTAGAGGTCTTAATAAAATCTGATCCTAAAACAAAAGGAAAAAAAAAAACCTCTGTGTTAATTAAAAACTTACTTCTTACACTTCTTAGTCAGTGAAAGAAATGAGCTATGTAAATTTTTTTCCAGAGGAACATAACTTTATTTTTCGTTAGTTATTTGAAAAAGGAAAAACAAAATCTCTCTTTGAAATAATTCTGTCCATACTTTCCCCTCCCCATTACTATAAGATGAATGAAATTAAGAACCAATTGGGTTCTCACTGATTCTTGGGGCCCCTGGCTCCGTATTTCCTTTTTTAAGATTTTTTTTTAAGTTTTTTTTTTAATTTATTCATTCGAGACACAGAGATACAGAGAGAGAGAGAGAACATGAGCAGGGGGAGAAGCAGAGGGAGGGAGAGAAGCAGGCCCCCCACTGAGCAGGGAGCCCGATGTGGGGCTCGATCCCAGGACCGTGGGATCATGACCTGAGCCGAAGGCAGACGGCGCCCCTTGGCTCCTTATTTCCATATCATCAATGAAAATCAAGTTGGTTTATTTAATGCATAACTGAGATGAATAATACAATGCTATGCCCCATGCTTAATATCATATATCACGACACTTTACTACAAAACTGGAGTGCCCACTCATTTTCTTGCGCTTGATGGGAACTACACAGTACAGCTGTGACGACACAAGAAGAATGATTTGTACTGCACTGCTCATTAATGAAAGCACTGTGTCTTCCAGCAAGATTAGGAGTTTCACAAAAGACATCATGCTATTTCATAACCTACAAATACTTCAGACAACTTTCTGTCTCTCACATGTATCTTAAACCTATTGATGTAGTTTAACAGAATAGCACAAGGAGACAAATGATAATAATAGTTAAGACTCACTGTGTGCTATGCTCTATTCTAGGTGCTTTACAAGTAACAACTCAGTCATTCCTCACAGCAACTGTATAAGGTAAGTACTAATATCCCCATTTTAAAAGATGAAACTGAGATACAGAAAGGTTAAATAACCCGCTTGGGGTCACAGTAGTAAGTGAGGGGGGTAGAATTCTAACCAAAGAAATACAGCTTAACCAACAGACTATAGTGTCTCCAAGAAACTTACCCAGGGTGACAAAGTCAGGTAGCCAAACAGAGATTCCATCTTTCATGTGGTTACCTACCCCTGACATGCTCAATATGCGGACCACAGACCAGCAGCATGGGCACCACCAGGGCGCCTGCTAAAAATGCAGACTTAAGGGTTCTGTACTAGAATGACTGAAACAGAATTTGAATATAAACAAGGTTCCTAAGTGATTCCTGTGAAATTCACAGCCCTAGCCCACTGATTCTGTGGGACCATAGGTAAGGCTCATCTCTGAGATTCTCCCAAGGTCCATCAAAGAAGTAGTCAATAGAAGTGGGGGAAAGAAGGGGCTAAAATATTCCCCTTTCGTTTCAAATGGAAAAGATACTTCCACAACTATTCTGTGGATGGAAAGGTTCAAATCAACACACCTTTAAGTAAAAACATTGTATGTAAGACATAGTGGAAAATAAAACAACAAATAATTCAAGCCCTTGCCCTCAAAAGCATACATTCTAGGTACAGATGGAGATGAAACATAAATCCTGGGTCATCATTTGATGAGCTAGCAGTCAGAAGATCTGGTTTCACCTCCCAAACTTTCATGTCTGTAAAATACATCTGAAAACTCTTAGTTGCTTCATAGCTTTAATTCCTACAAAGAATTAAAAGTGACAATCTATGTGAAAGCACTCGAAAACTCTCAAGCATTTACAAATATAAATGGATCAAGGACTGAAGTAGGGTTTCAATATGTAAAAACATGACAGAAATTCTGATTTATGAAAGCAGGTCATCAGAAGCCTTTTGAGGTGAGGAGTCTGTAGGCCCACTGGAAGAATTGGAGACATTGTCATGCATGCATTCATCTACCAAATATTCACTGAGCGCTTACTATGTCTTTGAGTGCTTACTATGTCCTAGAACACTAAACAAAATAATAAAGTTCCCACCCTTGTAAGAAGATTTTCTAGAAGAAAAAGACAATAAGCAAATAAATATATAATAAATGTCAAGTGTTATGAAAAAAAAAGCAATGTAATGAGTTAGAGAGTGGCAGAGTTGGGGAGAGGTAGCTATAGTTAAACAGAGTTATCATAAAGGCATCTCTCAAGAGTAAAATTCAAATAGAGACTGAATGAAAGGAATCTGTGAAAAGAACATCCATAAGCAGGGAAATGGCAAGTATGAAGGCCCTGAAGTAGGCATGTGCTAAACTGATTAATAAATGAATGAATGAATAGGATCACAGAACCAAGTCCTGCTCCCTATAACACCAGAAATAAGACAATCAAGGGGAAGAGGTTAAAGCCTCCAAACAGATGTAAGAGGTGAGGGGAACACCCCCAAAGAATTCACAATGAGACCATGATGTGCTTTCCTAAGGTGAGACATTGTCTTCTGAATCATTAGAAAGCTTTTGGGTACAACACCAGATATCATCTAAATTCTTTCAAGCACCCTAGAAGAGAAGATTATTATAAGTCCAAGGCCAAATTTGGAGACCTAAAAAAAAAAAAGGTATGGTCACAAAAATCACACAATTTAAAGTTAACCAAAAGAGCCCAACTCCTTTGAAAGAGTCCAGAGTTAGGATAAGGGAGGAGACTCTCCTCCTAATATATTTGGGAGGAGAACAGAACACCTATCATTAGAGCAACAAGAGCCTACACATTGACAGTAACAATGCCCTACTCATCATGTGTTTGTCCCCCTTTCTTGATTGTATTTTAAGCACATTTGAGGGCAGGTGCTGTATCTTTCTGTGAACTCTGTATCCCCAGAGCATGACAAACATGCAAGTCTCAATAGGAATTTTGGACGGACGGATGGATGGATGGATGGATGGATGGATGGATGGATGGATGGATGGACAGACGAATGGACGGAGGGATGGCTGGATCAATTGATAGATGGATGGCCACAGCTACCAAGAAAAAGCAAACTACAATATTTCCCATCTTTAACTGACGAATGGGAAAGGGAAGACAGTTTTGAGTTTCATTCCAGTTCAGGTAACAAAACTGGACAGGTGGCTCAGAAGAATATATCATTTTATTTATTTTTAAGTAAATTTTAAATTTTAGAACAGAAGTAAAGCTACAGAAACATCAAGGTAGTACAGAGTTGTTTCCCCTATTATTAACATTTGTTACAATTAATGAAGCAATATAGATATATCACTATTAACCCAAATCCATACTTTATTTAGATTTCCTTAGTTTTACTTAGAATCCAATCTCATTCAGGATACTCTGATATGTATATTTATCATATTGCCATGGGTTCCTCTTGGCTGTGTCAGTTTCTTGGACTTGCCTTATTTTTATGACCTTAACAGTTTTGAGGAGTACTGGTCAGGTATTTTACAAAATCTCCCTCAATTGGGACTTGTCTGACATTTCTCTCATAATTAAACTGAGGTTATGCATTTGGGGGATGAAGACCATAGAGGTAAACTGCCATTCTCACCATATCATATCAAATATACCTACCATCAACATGATCTACCACTGTTGATGTTGACCGTAAGAACTTGGGAGGAAGTGTTTGCCAGGTTTCTCTATTGCAAAGTCACTTTCTTTTCCCTATGTTCCATACTGTACCCCTTGGAAAGAAGCCCTTATCTGTATCCCACACTTAAGGAATGAGGAATTATAATTTACCACCTTTGGGGGGAATAACTATATAAATTATGTGGACTTTTTTTGCATGGGAGATTTGTCTCCTCTCCTTTACTTATTTACAATCATTTATATCAGTACAGACTCAAAGACACTTATCTTATACTTGGGTTTATAATCCAATATTACTTTATTTCATTGCTCAAATGGTTCTACCTTTGGCCTCTGGGGGCTCTTTCAGTTGCTTCCTATATTCCTTCAACACACCTCCATCACGCAGAATTTTTGTTTTTTAAAGCACTTCCTTTGGTATTGCCAAATGCTCTGGGCTCATCTTTTAGGCTTTCTGCCCCACTCCTAGAATAAGCCATTTCTCCAAAGAGCCCTAGTTCCTCTTATTAGAGAATGGTATTAGAACCCAAAATCTTGGTGCTAGGTATACTCATTGCTACTGCACGGTCTTGTTTCCAGCTCTCTCTGCTGACTAGCAAGGAAATCTGTGTATCCTAACCCATTTATATACACACATCTTTTAATAATTCCACATTTATCTACATCTATATAGATATAACTAAACATGCATAATACTGATGACTCCAACTCTGACCCATTACTGCATGGATCATTCCAGCCCTCTCCCCTTCTTTATCTGTAAACTCCCACCTCCCACGTGAATAGTGAGAAACCTAGCACTCACATCTGTCACCCCTTTAGTTAATTGTTCACATCCAGTATCTGCATACAGCGCTATCAGAAGTGTTACCTACACCATGGGAAACAACTTTTATCAACTACTGCACAGTGCTTATGTGCACTTTCCCCTGTCTTTAGCTTTATAGCCCACCCTCACTTATAGATTATTTATTTATTTGAGAGAGAGAGAGAGCAGGTGGAACGGCAGAGGGAGAGGGAGAAGCAGACTCCCCGCTGAGCAGGGAACCCAAGGCAGGGCTGGATCCCAGGACCCAGAGATCATGACCTGAGCCAAAGGCAGATGCTTAACGGACTGAGCCACGCAGGTGCCCAGCCCACCCTCATTTATAATGTTATGTAGGTCACCATCTTTTTTCCTACCTCCTTCAGGGAGGCTGTTTCATATATTTGTAATACAGTTAGATTCTTTGCTCACAGGCCACATTCTATCCTGGAATTCCCTGATCACATAAACAATTTTTTTTATTTGCATACATTAAAGTTCACTCTTTGTGGAACTTCTAGTAGTTCTGACAAATGTATAGTGTTGCACACGCATCATTACAGGATCGCACAGAACACTTTCACCAAGATAAAAACCCGCATGTACCACATTTCCATCTTCCCCCACCCACGCC